TCACCGATTAAAAAGTGGTGATTTTGATGTCGTGCGTCAGAAAATACCCGCCAACTTCAACGTGCGACTGACGCAGGAGCGCACAGGTGAACACTTTTCCCAACACCAGGGTCAGTGTCTCAGATGATCGAGCAATCATCACACCAACATCCAACGCACGTGATGGTGGCTGTGCCCTCAAAACGGGCCACGTGTTAGATGCGCTGGACCAACACGGGGGCCACATCGGACTCTGGCAGGCGTTATCTGTGCGCAATAACAAATGCCAACATTCCCGGGGTGCGCTGGCGGACCCTGTTGTCGGCATTCGTCGCACAACTGGACTACTGCCATCACCCCATTGGTTTGTGGTCAAAATCCTGGTCATTTGTGTGCAGACCGGGGGGTGCGGAGTGGAGCTCCAAGGCGAGAATCCGTCCGAGCCATCCACCTGCGGCCTCCCACGTCTCCGGTCTTCTTGACTTGATCTTGACACCGGGCTCAGGCGGTGGAGGAGGAGAGAGTGTAGGTAGATGCTACGCAGGTCTACTGGCACTATAAACCCCTGCGTAAGTCACCATCCCTGCTCCACAATGAAGTCTGTGGGGCATACGGAAAATGAGAGGTAAATAGCGATAGGATAACCCTAGCTTTAACCTTAACCCTAACGGTAGCCTTAACCACAAACCATTAATCGCTTGCCCTGAAGCCGAACCCCAACCCTAAAGCCAAACCATAATCGTAAACCTAAACGCTAACGCTAACACTGAAGCCGAACCCTATAACGCAAATCCTAATCCTAAAACGTAACCTACGCCTAACCGTAACCCTCACTAAGCCCAACAGCTTGACCGAAACAGCCGACCTACCTCACGAAGTTGCAGCACACCTACTGATAACCAATTCCCTAGGCAAGGTAAGCACACCTACTGATAACATGTAAGTACGTCGCCAGTATCAACATACAGTGCCTGGCCACCAACTGCAATCTTACCAGACTAAGCATCAACCTGTAGTTGGACATCAAGTCGACTGCTTCAAGTAGTGATTGAGCTGCCCCCCAGACTGCTGTGATGCCAGATTGAATCATCTGGCAGGAGGACATTTAAATGCCTTTCTAGCAGGAACCTTCGATTACAGTCGAAGTTCCGTGATCAAGAAGACGTTCATCAATCCGTCGCCTGTGATGGCCAGTT